GATGTCAGAAAGGGAAATACCTGATCTATGAATTGCGGATCCCTGGGGGAAATCCAGCTTCTAGACTAGAAAATGTTGTGGAATATTTTAAGTATTCTTGTGTAAATACGTGGCATATGAAATGGTAAATATTCGGTTCAATAATATCAAAATACCTTAGTATTACCGTCTGATAACGGCTCTTACCCTGTATATTTATTTATTTATTTATTTTATTTTATTATTTATTTTTTACAAGATCAGCGTGTAATAAAGGAGATGAGTTATGGGATTCAACGAGCTAGAGATTCTGCTGTCTCCATGACTGATCTCTTACAGTAATAGATGAGGAGAGATTGACTGACAAGGCAAATGCTGTTTACAAGCGGTTCTTCTAAACATTCTATAACTTCTATTCATCAAAGAATCCTAAAAAGTCATGGTTTCAACAAAAATATTAAACAGTACATGTTTTCAGCACTGATAATTATAAGACATGTTTCTTGAGCACCAAATCAGCATATTAGAATGATTTCTGAAGGATCATGTGACTAAAGACTGGAGCAATAGCTGCTGAAAATTCAGCTTTGTCATCATAGGAATAAATTACAACAATTTAAAATATATTAAAATACAAAACCGTTCTTTTAAATTGTAATAACATTTCACAATATTAGTTTTTTTTTTTTACTGTATTTTTGATCAAATAAATGCAGCCTTGGCAATTTTAAAAGACTTCTTTCAAAATAATTTTTGAAACCAGTACACATAACATACGTATAACCTAATGTATCAAAATGTATCCTGAATAGGCTACAGAAATATTCATATTACAGGATCATAAAATGCACAAAATGTAATAAGCACTTATGCCACCAAATAAAGAGTAGCTGGTTCTAGAGAATAACAGGATCTAGAGAATGAATTTTCAGAATCTCACTTATTTGACCTTATCTGACCTGAAAATAGTCAGATGGTAAAATTCACATTAATTCCAAGTGTCTCATTCATGTTTAAACTAACCTTAAATGGTTTCAAATGGTTGGACTTGTATTGCTGTACTGTAGTTAGTGTGATAGAGGTGTGTGTATCACCATGCGTGTCAGCTCTGGATGAAATGAGCATTCCTCTGGTATAGTTTAATAGAAGTGGAGCTCTGGGATAAGAGGCAAATTAAGGGCAGAGCTATGGCACAGGCCATCTGTTCAGGATGCTTTCTTTGAGCCCACCATGCACACAGGCAGGAGAGAGATGAATATCCATATCAGTGTTAGCGAGAGGCTCGTAATACATTATGAATGACAGGAGTCAATGAGCGAAATGGTTCAGGAAATATTCTGTCCATCTGGAAGCCTTTAGTGTACAATCAACATCTGTTACTAAACAGCACAACAGTCTCTGAAACTTGCCAGCAGTAACTGTGCACAACAAAATCCTACACTGATGTTTTACTGAGTTCGCTATCAGTCTGTTTTTCGAAACGTATTATTTCAAAATTCTCCCAGAAAGGATTAAAAGATGGACATCTTGATAGATAGAAGTCTTGTGTTTTTCTATTTATTCAGAGGATACAGTGGTAAAGGAATAAAGACTCTAATACAAAACATACATCAATATCTGCAGCGCTATGAAACAGCATTATCACTTTGGACAACCGACCACAACATAGTGACAGAGATTTCAGACACATTTGCGATGTATTCATTAAATGTCAGTCAACATTTACAATGGGCTTCGATGCTAAGGTGCTATCCTGGTGCAAGAAACATATCCATGTGGTCCAATGAAACTGCTGAAATAGTTTAGCACACAAATGTAAGCCAGTTAAAAGTGATTTTCCTGAACATCAGCTCACTAGTTGCAGCTAAAATGCACAAAGCCCTAAAATTGACAGAAAATAAATACTATGTGACCAATGGGAAATAGATCTTCATTGAGTATTTGGCAATATTCCTTTAAATCTGTACTGTATGTTTATTTTATCGTTATGCACACCGAGTTGCTACAGCCTTGCTAACACATGTGAATTACAGGAATAGTTTATCCCAAAATGAAAAAACTACTGAAAATATTCTCAAATACACCTACATATTGGATGGCCTGAGGGTGTTCCTTTCTCAGAACAGATTTGAAGAAATTCAGCATCAACACGACTCCAGTTGATCAACCTTGTGAAGCAAAAAGCTGCATGCTTGTAATAAACAAATCCATCTTTAAAACAGTTTTTAAGTTTCAAACTCTTGCTTCTGACTAAAATATGAGTCCTCTATCTATAATATTGCTTTCAGTGAAAACAGTAGTCTCGTCCGCACCGTTTGCAAACGGAAACAAACCATAACAGCTCTAAACAAATATGTCAGTGGATTTTGATGTAAAAGGATACCAGGGATGGACTTTTTCAGCGTTATTATGGATTCTAAATTATTTTGGGCAGATGCGACAGCTTGAAGTTAAAACGCCTTAATGATGAATTTGTTTCTTACAAATACGCACCTTTTCACCTCACAATATTGTTAATTTATGGACTGGAGTCATGTTGATTACTTCTGGATAATTGTGATGTTTTAATCAGCTGTTTGGACTCTCATTCTGATGGCACCCATTCATTGGTAAGCAAGTGATGTAATGCTAAATTTCTCCACATCTGTTCCGATGAAGAAACAAACTCTATCTACATCTTGGATGGCATAAGGGTACATTCTCTGCAAATTTTCATATTTGGGTGAACTATTCCATTAGACTCGAGGGTTTACAGACACAGTATTATTACTATTACAGTGTGGTGGCAACAGCTAATACACCTCTACTCATTACATCGTAGAACATCTGGACCATTTCTTCATCAAAGGTGTTGACCGATACAGCTCACGCCTTTACAGAGCTATATGAGCAGAACGAGACAGGCTCGACATCTACAAAATTACCTTGTAATGCTACTTCAGATGTGTTGTTACACGAAAAGTAGCCTTTCTTCATAGGTGATGAGTATAAACTTTTTAACTAAACATTGGTGGAAGTCAAAAGTACTATAACATGAGAGTCCAAAGCTAACATCCATTCAAACTACAATAAATAAATAATAGTGGGCAATTTAATATTCATTTCTGCTTTGAGCTGCTTTGCACTACACAAGAAATGCATTCATGCATTAGATTCAATTTAAAAATCCCTTACAGACCCTCTTTTCTGTAAGTATTTACTTTCGTGCTGTGAGGGAAAGTGGCGAGAATAGAGGTGAGGTGTCATGCAGTGTCATTTCTGGGCAGCTTTTAAATATATAAATAAATATATGTATATATGCGTGTTTTGGAATGACATTTTCTTCACTCTAGCATGTTAATCTAACAGTGATGGATTAATAGGCACATTGTATATTAGAAACATGCATGTGGCGAAGCCATTGTGTTACAATGAATAAAGTGGGCAATGTTAGAACAAAAACAGAAACCAATCTAATACATAAATGTTTTGGAAGCACAGAATGTGTCCAGCAAGAACTATCTTGTGTTTCATTTCATATTGACGTCAATGCTACAACGGCTTTGCAGTTGAGCTACTTGGTTACCAGTCTCAGCTCTTATGTTCTAATGTACACAGCATCAATGCAGTGTAGGAGAACAATTGTTTAACACCTTTTGGCAAAGTGTTCCCTAAAGCCCTTTCTAACTATAGTTTGTATTGTCATATGCATTGATATCACTTATCACACATCTGCTGTTCTCCTAATAAGATCTTCAGATGCATTCGAGACTTTAGGGAAACAGTAGTCTCTGCAAACGGAAGGAAATATAAATAAATCACAGTGATCTATGAAATAGATGTAAAACAGTGGTTCTCAACCTTTTTGACTCCAAGGCTCTCCTTTGTCCAAGACAATATTTACAAGATGTTAACTGATGGACTGGAGTCACGTTGATTACTTGTGGATTATTGTGATGTTCTTATCAGCTGTTTGGACTCTCATTCTGGCGGCACCCATTCACTGTAGAGGATCCATTGGTGAGCAAGTGTAATGCTAAATTTCTCCAAATCTGTTCAGATAAAGAAACAAACTAATCTACATTTTGGATGTTATGAGGGTTTGTAATTTTAAAGCATATTTTAATTTTTGAGTGAACTATTCCTTTAAGATTATGTTAATATAATTAAATTTAAATCATATTAAGACTTATCGGGAAGCTTGGTTTAGGCCCCTAGTGGGGCCCTCTGGTTGAGAACCACTGATGTAAAGAATAAAAGAAACGAAATGATGTGTAAATAAATAAGTATGGATTAAAAGCATATTGATTTTCTAATGACTTTCAAATTTCTATTAAAGGTAATAATTTATCATCTTTGCTAGTTATTCTAGTTATTAAATTTACAAAATATCATCTTAAAAAAAACTTTCAGTATACAAAACGTAAATATAGTAGCCAACATTTGAAGTGGATCAAAAAAGTTCATCAAAGTTGTCCTAAGACAAGAACGCATTTTGGTTTTAGGTTTTAAGACAACTTTGACGAAAGGTTTTGATCCATTTCAAGTGTTGACTAGTGTAGTTAAAACCAACCCAAAAATTGAAAAAAAAAAAAAAAAAAAAACCCAGAGGAAAGTTGTAATAGACCTGTTGGAAATACACAGTCACTCATGCAGGAACACACATTTTCACACTAAAAAGAAAGACAAATTTCTATTCCTATGTAAATATTAGTGCTGTCAAATGATTAATCGCATTTAATTGCATCCGAAATAAAAGTTTTTGTTTACATAATATATGTATGTGTACTGTGTATATTTATTATGTATATATAAATACACACACATGCATGTATATATTTCAGAAAACTATGTTGTGTTTATATATTAAATATATTTATTTATAATATAAATATAAATATGTAAATACATGTAAATATTTTCAAAATATATACTGTATGTGTGTGTATTTATATATACATAATAAATATACACAGAACACACACATATATTATGCAAACAAAAACTTTTATTTTGTATGCGATCAATCGCGATTAATCATTTGACAGCACTAGTAAATTTCTCTATTGCGGCCCCAGGTTTATTGTCTTTTCTGACATCCAGAAGGGCACATTTCAATGGTTGTTGAAATTGGTGCTTGTGAAATTGAAATCATCTATCAGTCTAGCAGTAAAAGAAGACACACATTGATATCTAATTACACCATAAGCAAAAGACAAGGTGAGGTGACGCACAAAAAAGTGGTCGATAGCCCTGTGCTCTCATGGCGGCTCCCTCTGTGTCACAGAAAACAGGAGGTGCAGTGTCCGTGTCGACTGAAGTGAGAGGGAATTGTGTCAGTTTCAGCTCTCGACTCAGGAGACCCCAGCCACACAATAGAGTCCCTCTCGGAGCTGGTTTGGTACAGTGACGTATGAGTGTGCAGGAGAGGCCCGGATTACAGGATCCTGTGGGAAACGCTGTCCTGAGGACTGCTCTCCGCTGTAGTGTGTTTGAGCAGATCCAGGGGCATCAGAGGAAGAGGGTGGTTTTGTTCACTCACTACTGCCTCGTATGGGGGCGCCTCATCTAAAGGTAAGGCTGACAAAGAGATGGAGGCGATTGGCTGGTGCCTGAAGTCCTGTAGTCTGGTTGGGTAATGGGAAGAGCCACTTGCTGACACCCAAGATGCACCAGCGAGCAGATCCCCCATCTCTCTGTGACGGTGTGGGGCGGGATGCTCCCGGCACGGGTCTGTGAGGGAGTAGGGGGGCGGATCGTCCGTAGGAACATATATCTGCGTCCCTTGTCCCACACACTCATCATAACTGAAAGAAAAGACAATTTTGAAATAAATATGATTATATATCAACAATATTATGTAATTGATCTATTTATCAATATACTATACTACAGTTTGAAATTCGAAGGTCCTGTTGCACATCTTCTTTAGGGTAGCACATACAGTAGTATGTCCTGTATACATGGTAGGTTACATTTTATAACCACTAGAGGGCAAAACATTTATTTATGCCAAGAACCCTGAAATATGATTATCTCCTTACTAAATACCTATATGCTGTATGGAATACGATATAGTTTGATATTATAAAGACAACGTGGTGTTTCCAGAATTAAATAATTGACTTTTATACTGTTATTATAAAACATACACAAAAATGATTAAATTATCATATGGAAAATATTACATGCAAAATACACTGTGGTATATATATATATATATATATATTTTTTTTTTACTTGCTGTCAATAGAACAAAATATTGTGATTAATCTTATGATTTGTCCTGATAGGTCAAGTTATACTTCATCCTTTTCTTAGCACTCAGCAGCTGCAATGATGCACAAATAACATTCAAGCAATGAAACTAAAATGATAAATTAAACAATGTATGTATTAAGATGAAATCATCATGTTGTGCATATTTAATATTTAACACCTTTGAAAGCTTAAGTAACGTATTTTTTCTTTAGATTTTCTTGGACCCCAACCACCCAGCCTCTAGGAGGTTAGGGTTCTCTAAGAATGAATATACTAAAATGAATACAGTAACATAACAATAACTATTATATCATATTTAATAAACAAAAAACAAACAAAAAAACTTTTAAAGTTAAGTTGAGAGAAAAAAAATCAAATATGTAGCTAAGACAAATAATAATTTGAAGCCATTTTACACTTCACTTCTACAATTCTACAGTTCAAGTTCGCAACATTTTACCAGAAGTGTCAGATTTATGATAGTATATTTTCGTATGCTATTATAACATCTGAATGCCAGACCCTCAGTATTACTGACATTTGATTCTCTTTTTGTTCCTTCCCACCACACTAAATCACCAATTTCAGTTTCTCTGTGCGACATTCTGCTGCACGGCAAACAAAGATCCAGTGAAGCACATCAGATTTAAAGCCTGATGTGTCCATCCAAGAGAAAAGCAAACAAAACGAGAGACAAAGGGACTGAAATAGCCTCCTTGTTTGTGTGAAGGTGAGTTGTGTATGTGTGTGTGAGAGGTGAGCTACATTAACCAGGTTCATGGACACTTCCAGTAAAGTGAAGCAGTCTTATGCCTCTGACCTCAGCGTGCGCAGAGCACAGAGTGTTAGAAAGAGTAAGAGTGAATAGCAGCAGGGTAATTGGATCTCGGTATGGTTAACCATATCAGACTGTCAGTGAGAGCGGAAACGGGATGCTAGAATTGGTTTACGCTGCCACCCCAGGCTTACACATGACAGATGAACACAGAGAGAGAGGGCTTTGTGGTGGGCACAAAGATCTCTATTATAGACACATCTATTTTGTCTACATACAAAAGATGTGCAGATGAGTTAGTAACGTTTTTTTTTTTTTAAATAAATTAATACTGTTATTTAGCAAGGATGCATTAAATGGATCAAAACATACAGTAAATACATTTGTAATGATACAAAAGATTTAGGCTTCAAATAAATGCTATTTCATTCATTCATTCATTCATCAAAGAATCCTGAAAAACCTGTTTTCTAAATCATGGTTTCCACAAAAAAAATTAAGCTCCACAATTGTTTTCAAAACTGATAATAAGGGGACACATTTCTTGAGCAGCAGATCAGCATATTAGAATGATATCTGAAGAATCATGACACTGCAGACTGGAATAATTACTGCTGAAAATTCAGCTTTGCCATCATATTGTAAACCATATATTCAAATAGAAAACAGTTATTTTAAATTGTAATAATTTGCTGTAAAATAATTTTTAATTGTAGTATGTAGTATATATAATAAACTGATCTATCAGCAGCAGCTGTATCAAATGGTCTCCCATATACTCAGAGATCCACTCCTTCACCTCCTCCGTCAGGCTTCAGGTGATGAGGGCTAATTAACACACCACCTGCTCAACTGGAAGAGGTGATGATACCAGGGAAAATGGCTAAGCATGACTGAGTCCCATTAAAGGAGCGAGTAAACACCAAAAAAGTGGTTCAGATGAAATCAATGTAGTTCCATTCTCCTAAAGTTTCTCTGTCTTCTCAGTTTCTCTTCTCATGTCATGATGGTAATCATACCACATCATGAACATGAAAAACGCCTCTTCATGTGGACTCTGAATAACATCTGTGGTGCTTGAGGGTCATTCTTTATTTTTGCCTCTGCATCTCTAGTTGGCTGAGATTAGAGACTGCTGATACATCAAGCAGTTGAAGTTATCAACCAAAACAGATTTTAAAAGATACATTTGTGTAAATGTTACATTTATTATTGGTGCATACTAGCAAAAAAAAATGTCAAGGGTAAAAATGTATGTGATATATAAAGTAAATTAAAGTAAATGAATGTCAGTGTAGCAGATTGCAATTAATCTAGACAATTTAGAGTCACAAAATGTTTTAGTGAAATTATATCCTGGAACTGTTTTATATACACTACCAGTCAAAAATGTTGAACAGTAAGATTATTAATGTTTTTTTTTAAAGAATTCTCTTCTGCTCACCAAGTATGCATTTATTTGATCCAAAATACAGCAAAAGCAGTAATACTGTGAAATATTTTTACTATTTAAAATAACTGCTTTCTATTTGAATATAATTTAAAATGTAATTTATTCCTGTGATCAAAGCTACATTTTCAGCAGTCATTACTCCAGTCTTCAGTGTCACATGATCTTCAGAAATCATTCTAATATGCTGACTTGCTGTTCAAGAAACATTTTATTATTATTATTATTATCAATATTTTGAACTTTCTATTCATCAAACAAACCTGAAAAATTCTACTCAGCTGTTTTCAACATAATACTACTACTACTACTACTAATAATAATAAATGTTTTTTGAGCAGCAAATCAGAATATTAGAATGATGTCTGAAGAATCATGTGACTGGAGTAATGATGCTAAAAATTATATATATATATATATATTACTAATTCTTTGTGGTGGAAATGAGTGCTTTTATATATCTATACCTAAAGTGTCTGATTTGAAGTTGATATAACTTTAAAACAATTGTTGACACAAAAACTGGTATTAACAATGTATTATCTAAATTATGACTTTATCTCACGATTATGACTTTAAAAAGTCATAATTATGGCATAAAAAGTAACAATTCTGAGATTATGAATACCAAGTCATTTTTTATGTGGTGAAAATGAGCTTCCATAGCTTTAGTACTTTTATATTTCTATACCTAAAGTGATTTGAGGTATAAAACAACTTTTGACATTTAACTTAGTATTAACAATATTTTTGTTAAAAATAAATCATTCTTTTTTGTGAGTGCAAAAAATGTATATGTTAACACACATCAACTCAACAAACCAATCCAGATATCAGCACAGGTGGAGACCACAGCAAACAGGACTCCATGCCTGGACACTTCACACCGCCACCATAAGCAGGTCAACCAGTATCGACAGCTTGGCTGAATGCTCATAACCCCACAATGCTCTGGCACACGTCCCTGAGAATACTGCACTCAGATATACTGTGGCGCCACTATGTCTAAGAATTACACACTTCGGCAGTCTCTGCTTGTAAACTTGGCAATGATGGCCAATGACTACATCCTTTGGACTGTATACAAATGCATTATGCAGTCTTTTCATTAGGTTGTACCTTATATTGTGTTACATTATGAGATTGATTCACAGACATACACAAAGCCAAACAGAAACTCCCCCTGCAGTGTAGCATTCTGAGTCCACTTCAGCCCATATACTAAGATAAACAAGGCCACATTGTAATTTGTAATTCACTAAATTGTCATGGCAGACACCCATATCCGCTATCATTTTATAAATAATACTGTTTTTGGTTTTGGTTTTAGGTACGAATGTACTTGTTTAGACTTCAAATATGCGGTTTGTTAATAAAGATAATGTCTTTTTGAAAATTTGCTTCGGCGTTTTCAGAGATGTGAGCTCCAGGGCGTCAGCGGGCGTTCAGCGATCATAAACCCGTGGAGAGAGCGCCTTACCTCGGCCAGATCTTCTGGAATTTGCCGATGGCTCTGATGTCTCTATGGTGGTTAAGCATGAGATATTATTTGTTTTGGGTTAATCTCGGGGGTAGTCTTTGGTCTCATTAATCTATTATTTGTTCCAGAACAAATCGTTTTGGCTGAGGGCAAAATCTCATCACGTTATATTTTGTGTAACTTCAATGCTGTATATCAGAGCGCTGCCTTTGTACTTTTGACTGAACTGCCTAGCAACTTTTATAATGGCTGTTGTTGTTGTTTATTAAATATTATTATTCAATAAATAATATTTTATATAAATAATAGTAGTATTTAATATTAGTTAATTAAACGGGGTGTGTGTTCGTAATGGTGATTTTTGTTACATTATTCCGCCATTAGATGGCGACAAGAGACTGTCTTTATGAGTGAGTCCGCACTAAAGACTTTTATATTAAAAGAGACTGAAATGCTGTTGTAAAAAAGGAAGTTATTTTTACTTTCAACAACACCTTCTAGGATGCTGCCAAAATATCAAACTAATGTTTTATTGTGAATTTTGAGATTAAAGCCCAGCATTTTTGGCCACGATTTGGTAGTCTGAGACACATTTTGAAAATCCTAAAATATTCCTATGATCCTAGGCTAAAATCTGTAGTCTTTGATCGCTGGTTTGACATGTTCACCGACAGCTGATTAATGGCTGTTGTGATCAAATTTTACCTCCAACGAAATTCTGGCAGTGTCAGCGCACAGTCTTGCAGAGGCTCCTACAACGAACATCAAACTGTCTTCGTTTTTCAAGACAAGCCATGATCAGAATTAATGCTAGAGATTTCTTCTAACCGCCATAAACTCC